GCCGCCGCCGCGGACGCCGCCCCGCCCACCTCACCTCCCACGTGGAGGCCTCGGGGAGAGACGCCAGGATCCCCACACCGACCCGCGACCTCCGTCAGGCCCGAACTACAAGTCCCAGTAGGCTGCGCGGGCGCGCTGGGCACGCCCACCTCCGGCGGCAGAGGACGGAGGGGGCGGGCTCCGTTTGTGCTGCTTTGGACTGAGCATTGGCTAGGAAACAAGTGATAAAGTTAACCAGAAACACGTAAGAAAAACATCATGGGATGCATTTTTTTATTTGTTGAAATGTCACTGGCGGGGAACGGGTTGTAAATAGCACCATAAGTATTTTACCTTTAAAAATGTTCAGAGGCCCGGCACTGGTGGCTCACGCCTGTAATCCTAGCTACTCAGGAGTCTGAGATCTGAGGATCGCGGTTCAAAACCAGCCCGGGCAGGAATGTTTGTTAGACGCTTATCTCCAATAGACCACTCAGAAAATCGGAAGTGGTGCTGTGGTTCAAGTGGTAGAGTGTGCTCTTTGAGCTGAAGAGTTGAGGGACAGTGTCCAGGCCCAAGAGTTCAAGCCCCACAACGGACAAAGATAATAATATAATTCAAAGAGCAAATGGGGCTGGCTGTGTCCCTCAGTTGGTAGAGTGACTGCTTAGCAAGTGCCAAGCCTGATAATAAATGCCAGTACCACAAAATTAAAAAATGACAATGTTTTTAAACACTCAACATTTTCCTCTGACTTCCAAAGCTTTTTCATACCACTTAGTATGACAATGAAATCTAGTACAGCAATCTTTATTTTTATTTTTGGCCGGTCATGGGGCCTGAACTCTGGGCCTGGGCACTGTCCCTCAGCTCTTCAGCTCAAGGTTAGTGCTCTACCACTCGAGCCACAGCGCCACTTCTGGATTTTTCTGTTTATGTGGTGCTGAGGAATCGAACCCAGGGCCTCATGCATGTAAGGCAAGCCCTCTACCACTGAGCCACCTTCCCAGCCCAGTAGTACAGCAATCTTCAAACTCCCATTTCCTGCCTGAGGAGCAGGAAATGTTTTTCTATTTGTCCCAAGTTTAGCCCCATTATAGTAAAATAAATCCTTACTAAAACTTTAAAAATAAATGAAAAGGGCCAGGCACTGGTGGCTTACACCTGTAATTCTAACTGTTCAGGAGGCTGAGGTCTGAGGTTCAAAGCCAGCCAGCCTGGACAGGAAAGTCCATGAGATTTCCTCTGGGTAATCACCAAGAAGCCAAAGTCAAGGTGTGGCGCAAGTGACATCTCAATCTAGCCTGGAGCAAAAAAGATCAGGGACACACACTGTCCAGGCCCTGAGTCCACGCTCTAGGATCAGCAAACACACACACACAAAATAAAAGAAACCCCTAGTATAATTTATGCTATTAACAAGAAAAAAATTCAGCATATCAAAGTAAAGAAAAAGAACAAATCATTTAAATTAAGTGTTACAGGATTGGGAAGGTGGCTTAGTGGTAGAGTGCTTGCCTCACATGCATGAGGCCCTGGGTTCGGCTTTTTTCTTTTTGCTTATGTGGTGCTGGGGAATCGAACCCAGGGCCTCAGGCATGCAAGGCAAGCGCTCTACCACTGAGCCACCTTCCCAGCCCATCCCTCATATATTTTCAGATTGAAATCCTAATCCCCTAGAGCCCTAGAATTAGACCCAATTTGGAAATAGTCTTTGCAAATGTAACAAAATTGAGATTATTGTGAGGTCTAACCTAACTAGAAGAGGAAATGCAGCTGGGTAGAAATGCATTCAGGTTCCAGTGACTCATGCCTGTAATTTTAGCTATGCAGTAGGCTGATATCTAAGGATCCAGGTTAAAACCAAGCCTGAGCAGGGAAGTCTGTAAGATTCTTATCTCCAGTTAACCCCCCCCCCCCACACACACACAGAGCCAGAAGTGGTGTTGTGGTTCATGGCTACAGCATTATCTCTAAGTGGAAAAGCTAAGGGGAAGCACTGGGGCCTTGAGTTCAAGCCCCTATACTGGCACCAAAAACAACCTAAGAAAAACCAAACCAACTGAAACAATGCTGTTATGATAGTATACAACCCACATACATTCCCTCATAATCCAGCCTCAGTGAAAACCCAGCCCTGCGCAGGTGCTTGGGGAGGAGGTGCTCAGTGCATGAGAGCCCTTTCTTCATTTATTGACCATTGTATGCAGCATCCTGCCTGATCCCAGGACTGTCTGGTTATTTATGAACAGGAAAAGAACCCACAGATTGAGTAACACCAAGAGGCACTTTGGCCCTGTGTTTGCTAAGAATCACTGACTCCTTCCTTATTTGGGCCCACAAGAAAAAGCAGAAGCTTGGCATCCCTGCCTCCATTAAAAATGCATCTTCTTTATTCTGAGTCTCTCCTACAATTACTTGGGTTCTATGGAAGGAAAGGAATGATCCAAAACAATTGATTGTACCAGTATGAGGACTTGAATGCTGGGCCTGGGTACTGTCCCTGAGCTTTTTGTGCTCATGGCTGGTCCTCTACCACTTGACTTTTTGCTGGTTTATTGGAGATAAGTCTCACAGAGGGGCGAGGAATGTGGCTCAGTGGTAGAATGCTTGCCAAGCATGTATGAAGCCCTCGGTTCGACTCCTCAGTATCCACATAAACAGAAAAAGTCAGAGTGGTGCTGTGGCTCAAGTGATAGAGTACTTACTTGGAGCAAAAGAAGCTCAGGGACAGGATCACTGATTTCCTGACAGGACTGGCTTGGAACTGTAGCCCTCAGATCTCAGCCTCCAGAGTAGTTGGGATGACAAGTATGAGTCACCAGCACCCAGTCCTTGAGATTTTTATCTTCAGTTAGCAAGTAGAGCTAGAAGTGGAGTTGTGGCTCAAATGGTAGAGAGCCAACCCTGAGTGAAAAAGCCAAGGGGCAGTACCTAGGCCCTGAGTTCAAGCCCCAGGCAAGACCAGCATACACATACACACACACAAACATGATTTTGGGGTGGGGAATGTGCCTTAGTGGTACAGTGCTTGCCTAGCATGCAAGAAGCCCCTGGTTTGATTAATCAGTACCACATAAATAGGAAAAGCCAGAAGTGGTGTTGTGGCTCAAGTGGAAGAGTGCTAACCTTGAGCAAAAGAAGCTCAGGGATAGTGCCCAGGCTGTGAGTTCAAGCCCCAGGACTGGCAAAGAAAAAAAAATAGATTTTTCCCTTTGGATATTTCCCAGTGGTCTTAAATGGGATTATTTTGAATATGAAAGGAACAAAAGGACTTTAAAATTCATAAGGGGTTGATTTTTTTTTCTTCAGTGCTGATACTGAGGCTTGAACTCAGTGCTTGGCTTTTTCACTCAACACTGGCACTATTACTTGAGACATAGCTCTATTTCCAGCTTTTTACTGGTTAACTGGAGATGAGTTTCATGGACTTTTCTACTTATGGTAGTTTGAACTTTGATCCATAGATCGTCGGCTTCTAATTAGTTCAGATCACAGGACTGAGCCACTGGTGATAGTTCTGGGTTTTTTTTGTTTTTTTTTTTTGGTGTAGGTTCTGCAGCTTGAATTCAGGCCTGAGCAGTGTCTCTGCTTTTTAGCTCAAGGCTAGTGCTCAACCACTAGCTCCACACCTGTATTTTTGGTGGTAAATTGGAGTTAAGAGTCTCACAGACTTCCCTGCCCAGACTGGCTTCAAACCATGATCCCCAGATTTCAGCTTCCTAAGTAGCTGAGTAGGTGTGAACCTGGCCCTGATTTTTTTCTAAAAGGCAGATGCCATCAACTCTGTAAGTTTAAAATCTATACTTGTGATACTCAAAACAACCTCTAATGTGGCGTTCAATTAATAAAGGTACCATGGGAAATCAGGTTAAAATAAACAGAAATTGTGAATTATATAATGATGTAAACAAGACATTTATTTTTTCATAATCATTTGGGGGAAAGGGAATAAGTCAGTTTGCCCTACCCAATGCAGGTCTTCCTGGAAGATTCTCCATTTATTCCACAGAATTCAACAGGCCTCTTGATCTCAACAGAGGGTTTTTAACCCTTCATTCATAAAGAAAACTTGCTTTGCAGGGCATGATCAAGCTTGGACTTTGTTGACTCATGCCTGTAATTCAAGCTACTCAAGAGGCTGAGATCTGAGGATCAAGGTTCAAAGGCAGCCTGGGAAGGAAAATCTGTGAAGACTCTTTATTTCCAATAAACCACCAAAGAAGCCGGAAGTGGAGCTGTGGCTCAAGTGGTAGAGTGCTAGCCTCGAGTGAGAAAGCTAAGGGATAGTGTGCAGGCTCTGAGTTCAAGCTCCAGTACTAGAGCAAAAGGAAAAACAGAAAAGGGAGCTCAGAGGGTGAGCCTTTGTGAGCAGCTTCTCTGGTGCACAGCCAGACTGCCCCTCTGGGTGAAGCTCTTTCCACACTGGCCACACAGGTAGGGCGTTTCTCCTGTGTGGACTTTGCCATGCAGGACACAATTTCCCCTGGTGTGAAAACTCTTCCTGCACTGGGGACAGGCGTAGGGCTTAAGGCCGGTATGGACTCTTATGTGGACAATTAAGCTTCCTTTCTGACTGAAGGCTTTCCCACACTGCTCACACCTGTAGGGCTTCTCCCCGCTGTGAACTCTTCGGTGCACGGCCAGGTTGCTCTGGTTCCGGAAGCTTCTCTGGCAGATGGCACACTCATAGGGTTTCTGTCCGGTGTGGAGCCGCTCGTGCACAGCCAGACTGCCTCGCTGACTGAAGCTTTTCCCACACTCCTGGCACTGATAGGGCTTCTCTCCTGTGTGTATTCGCTGGTGGGTGACAAGATTGCCTTTGGCCCTGAAACTTTTCCCACAGTGGGTACACTCGAAGGGCTTCTGACCCGTGTGGATTCTCTCATGTAAGGTTAGACTGCCTTTTTGCCGGAAGGACTTCCCACATTCCTGGCACTCATAGACCTTCTGTCTCACTCCGGGTGAGTCTTCCTGTAGTGACTTAGAATCTTGGGATTTGGGTTCCAGCTTCTCCCTTCGGAAGGAACTTGGGAAGTCCCAGCTTGAGGATCCTGTGGCCTCAGAGTGCTCATATTTGTGGGCTTCTGTCATCACATCTGGCAAAAGGAGAGGGAAGTCATGTAAGATGCAGCAATGTGCTGAGCAAGAACAGGGAGAAAGAAAGAAACACAATCCTTTCAGTGCTCATGACATGGCAGGCGACAAGCGATGAACTTCTCATAAATAATTGAGTCTGACACTGCTACTGATAAGGAAATGAGAGCTTCCAAAGAAATTAAGTTGCCAAAGACCACACAGCAAATTAGTGGGGTTAAAACGCTGGCATGTTTCAATCATGTACTACCTCTAAATTTAATTTGCCCTCTCCCAAATATAATTTTGTGAGTCAGGTGCTGGTGGTACATGCCTGTAATCCTAGCTACTTGGGAGGCTGTGGTCTAAGGATCACAGTTTGAAGCCAGCCTGGGCAGGAAAAGTCCATGAGAGCTTATCTCCAATTAACCACCCACAACAGCTGGAAGTGGAGATATGGCTCAGGTGGTAGAGCACTAGCTTTGAAGGAAAAAGCTAAAGGACAGTGCCCAAGCCCTGAGTTCAAACCCCAGGACTGTCATGCACGTGTATGCGAGTGTGCGCGTGCGCGCACACACACACACACACACACACACACCCCAAACTGTCACATTTTACAGGTGACAAACTCAAAGCTTAAGGTGGGTGCTGGTGACTCAAGCCTGTAATCCTAGTTACTCACAAGGCTGATGTAAGGATCCTAGTTCAAACCCAGCCTGGGCAGCATAGGCCATGAGAGTTATATTTAATTAACCCCCAAAAAGCTAAAGTAGAGCTGTGGCTCAAGTGGTACAGCACTAGCCATGAGCAAAAAAGTTCAGGGACAGCACCTGAACTCTGAGTTCAAGTCCTAGGACCAGCAGAAAGACAAAAACAAAAAACAAAAATTCCAGGAACTTAAGAAAATTAATGTCCCTGATAATACAAATCTAGTTCAGGACAGTTATTGAATTGGATATATCCAGGCTATTTAGTCTATTAAGCTATGTTAAAAGTGAAATCAACTTTGGCTTGAACACTTTGCATGGATACACATCTAAGCCTCCTAGTGTACTTTATTTTTGTGCTGGTACTATTTTTATTCACTTTTGTGCTCAAGGTTAGTGCTCCATCACTTGAGCCACAGCTCCACTTCTGGCTTTTTGCTGCTTAATTGAAGATAAGAATCTCTCAATTTTGTCTGCCTGGGTTGGCTTTGAACTGTGATCCTCAGAAGCCAGCCTCCTTGGTATGCAGGATTACACACATGAGCCACTGACACTTGGTTTCTTGATCTGTTTTGACTGTTACTTCTGACTCAAGCTCTTGTATGCTTTCATTGTAACCCCAAGGCACAATGAGCAAGAATAGCTCCTGTTTCCTCAGTCTGCTGTCAGTACTAAGGACAGTGACCCTAACTATCTGAGTTGAAGGCATCCAGGATCAGCTGACTCACTCACTGAAAAAGGCTACATTCTGGGCATATCTTCCATGACAGTCCAGCAGGGTAGCTGTTGGAAATCCAAACATGGCCACTCCTGCTCTGTAATTTCAATGTCCACCTCTTCATATGATTCTTCCATGGGCTGCTCGTGAATACCTGAAGGAAAAAAAAAACAAATAAACAAATAAAACCACCACAAACTAAAGGGCAGCCAGGAACTTGTAGCTCATGCATATAATCCTAACTATTCAGGAGGCTGAGAGCTGAGGATCATGGTTTGAAATCAGCCCAAGCAGGAAAGTCTGTGATACTCTTATCTCCAATTAACCACAAGAAGCCAGAAGTGGAGCTATGGCTCAAGTGGTAAAGTATTAGCCTTGTGCAAAAAAGCTCAGGGACAGCACCTAGGCCCAGAGTTCAAACCCCAGGATTTGTGCATGCGCGTGCATGCACACACACACACACACACACACAAAGGGCATAAATTTACAAGAGAGAAAACTAACATCAACATGAACTCCAGTTCTTGGTACAAACCAAACAGGACAGATCTTGATTGCTGTGTATGACATTAGCCACCTCCACTGTCCCTGCAATGTGGGCTAGAAGATACCAGGACCCATACAAAGGAATCCTGGAGCAAATGAACAGTGGGAAAGCAGAAACACATAAGCATGTACTTTTTCTAGTGAATTTCCAGATAATGGTAACTTGTTTAGTCTTGGCATGAGATTGGCAATCTTCCATTGCCTAACTACTATCTAGTGTTTTATCCTGTAAGCCCCAAAGGAATCCAGAATCTAAAAAGTCAACATTTCATCCTTGGATTATTGGTCCAATGATAAGTAGTTCTTGTTCTCTTTTCCAATTACCTCCCCCTCCCCTTCCTAAGTACCATAGGAACCATCCATTTCCTCCTTTACTTTTTTTTTTTTTGGTGCCCGTAATGAGGCTTGAATTCTGGAAGCGTGGGCATTGTCCCTGAGTGCGTTCTCTCTCCCTCTCCCTCTCTCTCTCGTTAGTCATGGGGCTTGAACTCTGGGCCTGGGTGCTGTCCCTGAGCTTTTCAGCTCAAGGCTAGTGCTCTACCACTGTGAGCCACAGCACCACTTCCAGTTTTCTGGTGGTTAATTGGAGATAAGAGTCTCACAGACTTTCCAGCCTGGGTTGGCTTTGAGCCATGATCCTCCCATCTCAGCCTCCTGAGCAGCTAGGATTATAGTTGTAAGTCACTGGTGACTGGTCCTGCCTAAGTTCTTTTGTTCAAGGCTAGCACTCTGTCACTTGAGCCACAGGCCCACTTCTTGCTTTTGGTGATTAATTGGAGATAAAAGTCACATAGTACCTGGCCTTTTTTTGCTTCTTATATCAGGGCCCTAATTACTGAATAATCTTTGTAGCCAAATGCAGGTGGCTCATGTCTGTTATCCTAGCTACTCATGAGGGTGAGATCTGAGGATCATGGTTGAAGTCAGCCCAGGCAGGAAAGTCTATGACTCCTGTCTCTGCTAAAACTACCAAAAAGCTGGAAGGGATGCTGCAGGCTAAATGGTAGAGTGCTAGCCTTGAGCAAAAACAATTCAGGGACAGAGCCTATACTCTTGAGTTCAAGCCTCACAACTGATTACCAAAAAAGATAGACAGAATAACCTGTTTTCCTCTAATATGTCCTATCAAAAGACCCCTAATTTAATGGAGTAACAATATGATGCTACAATTCTTCATTTTACTAATCAAGCTGGCTCTTCTTGACAACTGCACACTCAGCTATATGCTGTGATAATCAGGAACTTTTTTCTGTGGTGGTAGTTTTGCTCAATTGCTTGAGCTGGTGCTCTGCCACTTGAGCCACAGCTCTGCTGCTGAACTTCTGCTGGATAATTGGAGATAAGAGACTTTTGAACTTGTCTTTCTGGACAGTGAATCATGATTCTCAGATCTCAGCTTCCCGAGTAGTTAGGATTTCAGGTATAAGCCACCAGCTCCTGGCCCTGACCAGCAACTCTTACTTGGAAGACTCACTTTCAATGTACAACAGAAGCTGCAAAGGACTCCCAGCACAGTGTCAGCTCATTCACTTGAGAGTTCAAGATATTACAGATCAACAAGCACATATCTATAGCCAGTGGAAAAGTACACGGTACCCATTGCCAGGGATTCAATTTCTTGCACTGAGAATTCCAGAAAATGATTCATTCAGAATAATTGGGTAGAATCTACAGCTCTATGTGTACTGGCAGGTTTCCAATAGATAATAATATAGCAGTATGTCAGGAACCTTCTTAATAAAGAGACATTGTCAAGTCCTCTTCCTTTGAGGGAGTAACAAAAGGGAAAAGATTAGCAGATATGGAGACACAGTGGCCTGGTGGATATGACATTTCCCTCTTTTCCTGGGAACCCTGGGGGAAGTAGAGATGGCCCCTGGAGCCTGCACCTCCTCCTCTGGGAAAATCGAGATAAAGGTTCTCAACTCTGCTGGAGCAGCCTCTCATGGGAGACAGGTACTGCTCCTCATGGGGTGAGGTGGGCTGTGACCCAAGCAGATGCGAGACTCAGAGGAGGGTAGAAGAGGGACCCCATGAGCCTACAGAGGCTACTGATTTCCAAGCCCCATCTCTTGTTCTCTTACACTGAACAGAAAGTACTCTCAGTCCTCTTCCTCTCCCTCCTCCTGGGAAGAAGGTGGATCAGACCTCATATGGCAGGTGGCCCGAGCCGGTGGGAATCAAGATTGGGACTTATACCAACCTACCAACAACTAAGAGACTTTACTTTCAAATAAACTTTATCTACTTCCACTTTTCCTGCCTCATAGTCCATTTCTTTCCCACGTGTCTGTCTTCGAGCTTGAACTTATGGCCAGGACACTGTCTCTGAGCTTTTTTGTTCAAAAAAGCTGGCAGTCTACCACTTGAGCCACAGGCTCCACTTCCAGCTTTTTGGTAGTTAGGGATAAGAGCCTCATGAATGTTTTTCCCAGGTTGGCTTTGAATTGCGATCCAAATATCTCAGCCTCTTAAGTAGCTAGGACTACAGGCGTGGGCACTGGTGCCCAGCCCTGGTAATTCGTTATCTGGAGGAGAGAAAGAAAAAGATGGAGGGGTTGGAGGCATGGCACGGTAGAGCGAGAGCCAGTGAGCGAAAGCGTCAGGTATTGAGTTCAAATCCCAGTCTCAGACCTAAAAAAAGGGGGGGGGAGGGGAACCGAACCCTAGATGGTAACATGTTGATCAGGAGACTGAGCAATCATAGAGCGCTCCTGTGATAGGGAATATTGCTTGTCCTGCCAGGGCTGCCATGGCGAATTTGGGAAATGGGGTCCAATGGGCTTTCTGAGTGTGTCCGTGCCCCGGCCGCCCAGTCTGTGGTCTCGGTGGGTCTGCGCCCTGGCCGGGTGCCAAGCGCGGCTCACCAGTGGTCGGACGTGCGGGCAACCTCCCGGCCAGACGGCAGGCCTAGGATGGGAGTTCCGGGGGGCTGCGGAGGGAGGCCTGCG